GCTCTGGTAGCGTAGTGGTTACGAATCGGGCTGCCAAGTGCAAGGTCAGCAGTTCGAAACTACCGGCTGCTCCGCAGGAGAAAGATGAGGCTTTCTGCTCCCATAAAGATTTACAGCCTCGGAAACCCTGTATAGGGTTGCTATGGGTCGGAACCGACTTGACGGCACTTAACAACAACAACAACATAGGGTTTCCAAAATTGTAAATCTTTACAGGAGTACACAGCCTCATCTTTCTCCCTCAGAGTGACACATACCCAAATATATGTTGTTGCTAATGTCACTGAGTCAGTTCCCACTGATAGCAACCCTGTATAGGGTTCCCAAGGAGTGATTGGTGGGTTTGAACCTCTGACCTTGAGTTAGCAGTTCAATGCTTATCTTACAGTGCCACATGAGGATTCCACCCACACATATACACATACCCAAATATATGGGCGCATGGTGGCTCCATACAATAAGCACTGGACTTCAAATTGCAAAGTCGGCGGTTCGAGCCACTAGTGGCTCCCTGGAAGAAAGATGAGGCTTTCTGCTCCTGCAAAGATTTAAAGCCTTGCTAACCCTATACAAAGGAGCTCTGGTAGCGTAGTGGTTACGAATCGGGCTGCTAACCTCAAGGTTGGCAATTCGAAACTACCAGCTGTTCCGCGGGAGAAAGATTAGGCATTATGTTCCCATAAAGATTTATAGCCTCGGAAACCCTGTGCAGGGTCACTATGGGTCGGAACCGACTCCACAGTACTTAACAACAACAACCCTGTACAAGGACTCCTGGTGTGGCACTGTGGGTTACTGCACCAGACTGCAAACTGTTTGAACTGCAAGGTCAGTGGTTCAAGCTCACCAGCTGCTCCTCGGAAACCCTATACAGGGTCGCTTTGGGTCAGAACCAACTTGAAGGCACTTAACAACAACAACAACAACAACCCTATACAGGATTGCTATGAGTCAGAAGCTACTTGAGGCACTTAATAACAACAACCCATATATTTACATACACCCAAATGTATACACAAGTACACACACACACAATTTGTTTTCAATTGTTGTTGTTAAGTGCCATCGAGTCAGTTCCGACTCATAGCAACCATGTAAAGGGTTTCCAAGGAGTGGCTGGTATGTTTGAACCTCTGACTTTGTAGTTCAAACTGACCTTGTGGTCTAGTCTTTTATCCCACAGTGCCACACCAGGACTCGATTACAGCTTTGGAAACCCTATGGGGGCAGTTCTACTCTGTCCTGTGGGGTCATTTTGAGCCGAAATCAACTTGATGGCAAGAGGCTTAGTTTTTTTGGCTTGCTCTGCTTCAGACACTGGGCCTTAACCATCACACTAAAACCCCTTTCTAATCAATAGCTTTTAGCTTTTAACGTCCATACTCTATCATCAAGGTCCCTGGGTGGTTTAAAAGGTCTGTGCTCAACTATTAGCCTAAAGGTCTATGGGGCAGTTCCAGAGGCCTATCTATACAAAAGAGCACCTACAGCCAACACGGAAATTGCACCCCTGACCAGTCAGCTGACATGCATGTTTTAGAGATCACTTTACCACGATATCAGCTCGGAAATATAAGTCAAGTTTGTTAATTTCTTACTTTGACACATGATGGCACTACAGGAAAATGACAACTACATATTCATGGCAGTCACTCATGGAAATTGGCCTGTGGTGTTCTTAAAGTCATTTTTTCCCTTGGTTTCTTTTCTTTCTACACTCAGCAGAGCGGGATCACACAGCCTGCCTTGAGCCCTGGGGGCCCGCAAATATGAAAGTATTGTTTTGAACTTGTGGAATGATCTCTCACAGCTGGTGATGGAACTGCGATGGTTCAGAGAATTGCTCAGTGGCAACTCCCTCCACTTGAAGTGGTGCCCAGGGAATGTACCATATTCTAAATTTGCTCTGAGCAGCTTGACTCTGTAACACACGGAGTCGCCATGAGTCATAAACGACTTGATGGCATCAGCTTTGGTTTTTTTGCTTTTATATTCTATTATATCACTCAGTGCTTCATTACAGCTGTGTAATGTTACAATAGAGTCCTGGCGTGGCGCTGTGGGTTAATGTGCTGGACTGCACAGTCGGTTTGAACAGCAATGTTGATGGTTAAGCTCACCAGCCGCTCCTTGGAAACCCTGCATAAGGTCACTATGAGTTGGAACTGACTCAACAGCACTTAACAACATTACTTTCTTTCATATTCTCTTCTATTTTACTTGCAGTTCATAGCATAAAATTAAATTGTTATTAAGAGCTGTCGAGTCAGTTTCAACTCATAGTGATCCTGTATAGGGTTTTGAGGAACAACTGGTAGGTCTGAACTGACGTGTGGGTAGCAGTCCAGTGCTTTTCCTACAGTGCCACTTATCCTATACCAGGAGTCCATAAACTTAAAACCCCATAAATACTGATTATCTGATTAGTATTAATGAATCAGAGTTCCTGGATGGTACAAATGGTTAGTGTACTCATCTGCTAACCAAAAGGTTGGAGGTTCGAGTCTACCCAAAGGCACCTCAGAAGAAAGGTCTGGTGATCTACTTCTGAAAAATCAGTCACTCAAAACCCTATGGACCTCAGTTCTACTCTGATTCACATGGAATCACTCTAAGTCCAGTCAACTTGATGATAACTGGTGTTACTGACTTATTAATTAATTGCTATTAAGGTACTAGAGTCCTGGTGTGGCACTGGACGGCTAACTGTAAGGATTGGGCTGGGCATGATCCCACCCCTAATTTTTAGTCCACACTTTACTGACATTCATAACAATCCTATGGAATACAAGAGCTGGAGCATCTGACAGATGAGAAAAATGGAGCCACAGAAGAGTTAAATGTAATATTTCAAAGAACACACTTGGCAGTACTACTTGGACTAAACCAAGACCACCTGACTCCAAGTCATTAAGGCATTATAGTAGACTTTCTCTGAAACACTTCAAGATTGTTTTGTGCCATCAAGTCAATTTCAACTCATACTGACCCTACGTTGTTGTTGTTGTTATGTGCCGTGGAGTCGGTTCCAACTCATAGGGACCCTGTACAGGGTTTCCAAGGCCTAAATCTTTACAGGAGCAGAAAGCCTCATCTCTCTCCCGCGGAACAGCTGGTAGGTTCGAACTGCTGACCTTGTGGTTCGCAGCCTGATTCATAACCACTACGCTACCAGAGCTATGTTGTTGTCAAGTGCTGTTGAGTCGATTCTGACCCATAGCGACCCTGTATAGGATTTCCAAGGAGCAGCTGGTGAGCTTGAACTGCCAACCTTGCAGCTCAAACGGCTTTGCAGTCTGGTGCATTAACCCACAGCGGCACACCAGTACTCCAGAGCTATAGGACTGAATAAACTCCCCAGTAGGATTTCTTAGGCTGTAATCTCTATGAGGAAGGAGAAAGGGTTGCTGTGAGTCAGAACCTACTCAATGGCACTTAACAACAATCTCTTTGAGTGCTGGTGTGGCACTGTAGGATAAGCACTCAACTGCAAGGTCAGTGGTTCAAATTCAACAGACACTCCTTGGAAACCCTATACAGGGTCACTATGAATTGGCACTTAAAACAAATCTCTATGGAAGCAGATTGCCAGGGTTTTTTCTCCTGTCGAATGACTGGTGAATTTGAACTCCTGACTTATCAATTAGCAGCTAAGTGTTTGTTTAACTATTACATTACTGTTGTTGATAAGAGTCACGGAGTCCGTATGGACCTATAGTGACCTTATGGACACAGAACTAAATACTACCAGTCCTGCAACATCCTCACAGCTAAGCTTAAACCTATTGCTGCTTCCACTGTGTCAATCCACCTTGTTGGGGGTCTTCCTCTTTTTCTCTGGCCCTCCACTCTACCAAGCACAATGTCCTTTTCCAGGGACTGGCCTTTCCTGATAATATGTACAAAGCATGAGAGATGAAGTCTCACCATCCTGGCTTCTAGGATTCGGCATCTGCTTTTTCTATGCCAGGCTTCCGGGGATTTCACCAATATGAGGCCATGGCAGTGGAACCCACTGGAATATAGACAGGAAGTAAGGAAAGTAGAAAATGCAAAAACTCTCCATAATACTTGTCCCTGTCTTTTACATATTTGTTCTAATTATTTATGTATGCTTGCTTTTGTAATTGTGGTTAAAGAGCAAATGACAAAACATCTGCTGTTTCAACAGTCTTGCATACGTCACTAATGGCATTAATTACTCTCTTCATGTTGTCTAGCCCTCACTACTATTGGCTTCTAAACATCTCTATCACCCTTAACAGAAACTCACTCACTGCTCCCCTCTTTTCTCTTCCCTCTCCCTCTCTATACATTTGCCAATACATCATATAGGAATCTTGGGGATGCAGTGGTTAAGTGCTCAGCTGCTAACCGAAAGGTCAGCAGGTGAATTCACCACTAGCTCCAGGAGAAAAGAGCTGGTGATCTTCTCTTGCAAAGACTGTAGCCTGGGAAACCTTCTGGGACAGTTCTACTCTGTCCTATGGGGTCATATAAGTCAAAACCGACTCGAAAGCACATGGTAACACTAATAGGTATTTGATGTGACTGGGAGCATATAATATATGTGTTCTTTTGTGATAGACTGATTTCACTCAGCATGTTTTCCAAGTCTATTCATGTTCCATGGGAAAAAGATGAGGATTTCTGTCCCCATAGAGATTTACAGCCTCGGAAACCCTATACGGGGTCGCTGAGTCAGAACCTATTCAATGGCACTTAACAACAACATTCATGTTGAGGCGTGTGTTAGGACTTCATTTCTCTTTAGGGCTGAATAAAATTCCACTGTATGTGTCTACCACATTGTATAATTCATCTGTTGTTGCATTTGTGGGTTGTTTTGTTTTGTTTTGTTTTTCATAAAAGAAATGAATGTGGAAAAAGGATGGAACCAAGTTGTTCCGGGCCGCTCGGAGAGCTGTCTCACAACCATTCCCAGGTACCCATCTGGAGCCTGGCCTTGCTCATTTCTGATGTTACCAGTAATTACTTACCTGTTACTTTTGCCATTGCCCTGGATCTGGTGCTTTTTCTTGCCAGCCATCAGAGACACTTTTCTGCTCACCTCTTCTTCTGTCTCACTAAGCCTTTCCCCTCCAGGGATTTCCTCATCTAAGCTGTCGGGCTCCATGTCATTGTCCTGCATTCCACCCTCAAGTTCAGACTGGGACTTGATCTCTTGAGGGACACCTTCTGAATCGGATTCCAAGGAGTCTTTTGAAATCAGATGCACACCTTCTTTCTTAAAAGACCGGATTGTGGACTGGGCATTTAATTTGCTGTGATGGACAGGAGATTGAATAGACAGCTTAGGAGTTAGTTTACTCATGTTGAAAAATTCGAAAAAATAACATGGGAGATCCACTTGTTGATAGGAGGAGTTGACTGAATATTTAAAGTTGTGGCTCAGAAAACATGACCTACAAAAAAAATTATATTTATGTAACTTTTTGACTAATAAGGAGGTCCATGGGTGGTGGTTTGAACCCACCTAGAGGTGCCTTGAAAGACAAGCCTAGAGATCTACTTCCAAAAGGTCCCAGCCTTGAAAACTCTATGGACCAGTTCTACTCTGCACATGTGGGGTTCACCATGACTCAGATTTGACTCTAGGGCAACCGTGTGTGTGTGTGTGTGAGAGAGAGAGAGTGTGTGTATATATATGTGTGTATGAGACAGATACAGACACTAATAAAAATCTCTTAATGCCAGTGTTAATAAAAGATTTTTATGAATAACGGAACCTTATTATATTCTCTGTAGGCTTTTGTATGCAACCTTTTGTGTGTCTGCAGAAGATCTATTTGAAAAACAATTGTGTTTTTCTCTACAGAAACACATCCTGATGTAGAGGTCATGAACAAGTAGAATAACTGAACACAGTGTTACTGAGGGAATCAAATGATTGCTAGGAAGATTACTATTTGTAGCTACTAAGGTCCAGCTATCGGCAAACCTGGACAAAGATAAATGGGTAATTATAAACAGTATTTCAATGGCCACATACCCAGGGAAACAGTATACACATGCCAGGTACAGTAGTAATGCCAGGCACAGTAGTATTCATGGAGAGAGTAAAACAGGTTTGGTGTTGCTAAGCGCTATTGAGTTGGTTCTGACTCATAGTGACTCGGTATAGTGTTTCTAAGGAGTGGTTGGTGGGCTTGAGCTATCTACCTTGTGGCTAGTAGTCCAGTGCTTATCCTATAGTGCCACACCAGGACTCCAAAATAGGTTTAGGGTCCGCCTTTTTGAGAGAGGAGAACTTGGTTTCCACAGTTGGAATAGTAAGAAGGAAAGCTGTTTTGTTCTTAGACCTTCTTTGGCTGACTGCATGGCTGAGAAGACTTCCTTCTTGATAGAAAAGTATAATTTATGCAGATAGTGCATGGGCATTAACCTTATTGTTAACGTTAGCAGGCATCAGGTCGACCCTCTGCTCATGACAGACCCCAATTCATGGTGACCCACTGCAACATGGGGCCGAACAGTTGTGATTCATAGGCTTTTCCTGGTAGGGTTTTCTGACTTTTGGAAGTAAATTGCCAGGCCTTTCTTCCTAGTGTGTCTTAGTCTGGAAACTCCTGTTCAACATCATGGCAACATGAAAACCTCCACTGACAGACAGGCAGTGGCTACGCTTGAAGGGTCTCCTGCTTCCTGGAAGGGAAGAAATCTAGCAATGAACCACCACTGTCCCCAGAGATCAACCTTTGCTCAGAATTGAAAAGAGCATATAATTATAAAAACTATTTGACAAATATTTGGTGGCCTTGAAAGTTCTGCCACTGAGCGATTTAAAGCAGAGTTTGGCTGTTCACCCACTGAAAGGGATACTGTCCTGGGGGCTGTTACATGGGTGACAGAGAGACCTGAATAGCACCTAGGGGCCTTTGCAACTTGCTTAAGAGTAGGATTCCCTGTTGAGTCCTTACTGTTTCAAGACGGTTTATGGAAAAGGTGCTTTGAGTTCATATAGGATTGAAAGGGATGATGTTTTTGGACTGTGCTTCCTTTCATCTCTATCTAACACTTCTATTTTGGTCTGTCTTCTATCTCACTGCCTTTATGACACTTATTTTTTTATAAGATAGCTAAGAGAAACCTTTACCATCATAGGTTACTGTAAAATTTGTTTTAATGGTTTACTGTTGTTATTGCGGCAACGCCTAACTAATTGAATAACATACTTTATTCCTATTTGTAGGAATGCTTAGGAAATTTAATGTTGACCTTGTTGCTAAGGCTTCTAAGGAAGGAACATCATCAATTCCTTGGGGAAAGTGTGTAGGCAAACAGAACAGACAAAAGGTAACATTCATATTTAAATGCATATGAAATAGTCTTTCTTTTTAATTCAAAGTTCTCCCTATTCTTACACTGATATTTTACTGTCTAATTTTAGAAACCAGATTGTTGTGTTGTTTCTCATTTGAAAAATACATAGTACATTCTATCATATTATTTTACTACTGATAAAAACTTGTAGTTTTTTAGGGTGTTTTGGAAAAGCAATAAATACATCACGTACGGGCACATTTCAACTAAAAAGGTTTGTATAAAAACCTGTTTTCCTAAGGGCCCTGCACTTGGGGAGGGACGTCCTTAAAAAACAAGTTCAAATAATTATTATGGTTCCATTTAGAGTTGTCCTTTTATAATTCAGTCAGACAATGGCCATTTTGTAGCGTAGTGGTTACGAATTGGGCTGTGAACCGCAAGGTCAGCAGTTCGAAACTATCAGCTGTTCCGCGGGAGAAAGATGAGGCTTTCTGCTCCTGTAAAGATTTACAGCCTCGGAAACCCTGTACAGGGTCGCTATGAGTCGGAACTGACTCCACGGCACATAACAACAACAACAATGGTGGAAAATTGTGGTGTTAACTGAAATTTTTGACCAAGAAAGTATGTCAGATCTCTAAACAAGAAGGGCAGACAAGGATATATATCCTGAATAGTTCAAGAAGCAACCCTTTAGGGCTTTGTGTCTTGGCCACCAGTACTGCAGTTGAAAAAGGAGTTATGCTTGGTTACTTACTGCCAAGGGAATGGCAGAGGAAAAGTTGCTCTGTTTTGACACATGCCAGAAGCTGCCATCAGGGACATTCTGTTGTTTTCTCCCTTTGCCTTTTTCTGAGGGACAAGATATCTGGCAGCAAAGGGGCGTTTTTTTGTTTGTTTTTAAGGTGCCGGAAGTGACGACGGGGCTGCTGTCCTCGACCATCCTAGACAGGTCTTCATTAGTAGAGAAACAGGGCTGCTGGTCGGGTCTGGACTCCAAAACCTTTCTATAACCCAGCCACCGAGATCCCGACCCTTCCGTCCCGGCGTCGGCCACTATCCCGCCCGTGTCCCAAAAGCTGTCTCGCGCAGGCTCCTTCAATTTCTCCCGGTCCTAAGACAGTTTGCGCCGGTGTCCTCGGTCTCTACCCGGAGTCCCGGCCCTTCCCGTCCGCCTCCCCGGGCGCGCCGCCCACCCCCGTTCCGGGAGACAACCGCCCATCACCTGCCCAGCGCTTCTCCGAGGCCGCGATCGCCGCCGCTGCCGCCCCGGCTCCAGCGTCGCCCGCGCTGCCCTGGCGACCGCGGGCAACAGAGCGGCCCCGGAGCGACTCGGGCCGGGCCCAGCGGGAGGGCGGGGCCGGCGCGGGGAGGCGGAGCCCGGGCGGCGGTGGCGGATGGTTGAGACCACGGCTTCGCGGATTGCGCCCCTGCCGGGGCAGATAGGGTGGCAACGGTTGTAATAATGGCGTCAGGGGCAGAACCCCCGGCGGATTCTGAGAGCTCTGGGGAGGCTGTTGTCAGGTGGCCTTGGCTCACCAAAGTTGTATCATTGGAAAGCAAAGACTGTCTACAGCCGAGTGCGAGATATTTTCAATGAATCACACTGCTTGGATATCTTGTTTTCTACAAATCAAAAAGAAAGAGTCCCGTTAAAGAACAAGTAAATGACTTGAGTCCCTGGGTAGTTTACACGCTAGGCTGCTAGCCAGGACGAGCCCACCCAGCTCTGCTTCCGAAAAATCAGCGATTGTGAACACGAAAGCGCTCTGCTCTGACACACACAGGTTGGAGTCGACTTTGCGACTTTGCGGCAATCTGTAAATAAACAGGCTTTCACAAAAATCGACCTTCAAATGGCCAATAAACATTTGGTGTCTAACAAAAAGATGCTTATTAGTATTCAGAAGAAGGCAAATTGAAACCACAGGGACACCATCCTGTACTACCGACAAGATGCTTTAGTTGCTCAAATGCTATCTAGTGGGTTTTGACTCTGTATGAGGTTTGTGAGGAGTGGCTGGTGGATTTGAACCTCCGACCTTTTAGTTCACAGTCTAGTGCTTATCCTACGGCGCTATACCAGGAAGGAGTCCACTGACCCATGCATTTAAAAGTCTGACAGTGTCAAGTGCTGGAGAACATGTTGAACAAAAAAGTCTACATATATTCTATGTGGAAGGATAAACTGTTGTAACTACCTTTAGAAATAGTTTGAAATTAGCTAGTAAAATAGAAGATTTACAAGCCCTTTGATCTAGCAATGTTCAGTTTTAGATATTAACCCTAAAGCAGCATATGCATATGTGTTTTCAAACTGTAAACAAACAAACCCTCATCAGCAATTTTAAAAAACAAACAATAATAAGGTACTACTGTTGAGTGTGACTAATGATAACTCCATATGCTACATAGAATTATTGTTGTTGTTAAGTGCCGTCAAGTTGGTTCAGACTCATAGTGACTCTGTATAGGGTTTCTGAGGAGTTGCTCATGACTTTGGCCACTGACCTTGCAGTTCAAACCGACTTTGCAGTGTAGCTCATTAACCCACAGTGCCACACCAGAACTCCACATAGTAGAATGTTGTTGTTAAATGCCATCGAGTCCATTCTGGCCCTGTATAGGGTTTCCTGAGGAGCAGCTGGTGAGCTTGAACAGCCGACCTTGCAGTTCAAACGGCTTTGCAGTCTGGTGCATTAACACACAGTGCCACACCAGGACTCCCTTGCCCATAGTGGAATAGAGCTTCATTATGTTTTCTTGACTGTAGTTTTTATAGAAGCAGATTTCCAGATTTCTGAGTTGCAAATGGGGGTGGGGGTGGGGAGTTTTAACCAACAGCCCTCTGATTGGTAAATGCAAACAATTTACGCTACCTAGGAACCTTAATCAACAAAAGACAATTAAATTTCAGTATTGTATACACTGACAGATTATATAGTAGTGAAAATGAATGAAGCATAATTTTAAATCCATGGAAAATGTTTATTATGAATAAACAATACATGGATTTCCTTTTTTGCACTGAACAGAATCTACTTTGAG